TGGCCCCGGTGCCGCCGGCCCCCCCGAGCCGCTGGTAGCCACCCTGGGCTGGGTTGCACTGGTGGTGACCGCGGCACCGGTGCGCAGGCGAGGGGGCTGGGGCGGCACACGGTATCACCGGTCCCGCTGCTGGAAAACAGCTCCGAGGGGGTTGTCTGACCGGCCCCCACGGGACCAGGGTACTCCCTGCTTGCTTTGCTGCGCCAGCCTGAAATGCTGGTGCCGTGGTGCTCACCCCGGCAAGCAGGGGGCAGATCGAGCCGGATCCCCAGCTGACTTTAGGCGGATCCGCTGGGATGTTTCATTTCCACTCGGGTCATTTGAGGTAGAGTTCCGTGATTGATGTTCACGCTTTTGGGATTAAAGGAGAGGGAAACGACCGATAATCTCGGGTGCTCATAGAAAAATCTATGGTTTCTGGTGCAAAATCGCTCCAGCATGCTAGTTGCCTTTGGGTCCTTGTTTCTTAGCGTCACGATACACTGACTTCTGCCTTTGCAGTTCCCCCTTCACCTAAGGCAAGTTCTTGGGCTTAACTGAGAAGCGTAAACCGCGAAAAATACAGAGAGGGGCTGGTATAGGGGAAATGGACATAGAAATGTAGAGAACATCTAGAACAGAGGTGATGATGCCTCTGCTGATCCGCATCCTTGCTGGGTGAATGCCAGAGTATTACCCCGCCGCGCCCCGCATCCCTTTTTAAAGCGAATAAAAGGGATTTTCTTCAAAGGGGAATGGCAATTTACTCCCTACACCAGAGTGCTGACCCAAATGTATGCTTTTTCATGCAGGCGCAATAGCCCCTGTCTGCCCGTCTAAGAGCACGATGCCCGTTATCACCTTACGTTCCAAAGCGATTACGTATTAGCAGTGCAGGCGCTGCGATCCTCACCCCCTTCCCCACCCCACCAGCCGCGCCTGCACACACGACCAGAGCCGTTCCCTCCGTAACGAGCCACTTCATTTTGGGAAGCACGTCTTAAACCCGGCTACCAAACCACTCGCCACCTGTGCATGCAGGAAACCCGCAACGGCAAGATCGTGATGCTGCCGTCGCCGCAGTTTTGGGAGAGGGGAGGGAGTGCCTCTCGGGCGTTTCCAACACCTACATTTGCCTCCAGAATAAAAAACGAGCAGCGGAACAGAGGAATATTCAGCCCCTAGGATCAACGAGGTACCGCCGACCCGACCGGCCCTACGATCCTAATGAAGCATCAGCGCTGCCGCCAGCAGCTACTGCCGTGTCCAGAGGAGATGCTAACAATCACAATGACAAACACTTCAAAATAGTCCGAGCGAGCTTCCCCTCCCTCACTGGGCCTCTGTGTTTCGGTTTAAGCAGCATAGCTAGAGCACAACCTAGCAATCCCCAAATACAAGGAGATGCGTTGAGATATGCGGTATCTCAGCGGACACTCCGATTTTTTTTTTTAATTCTTTTTTTTTTTTTTTTTAAAGTTTCACTGACCCTTCTGGTCACCAACTTTCTTTGTGGTTCACTGTAAGGATCGCTCTCCAAGAACAAAAAAGAAATCTCGGAGCTTTGATAGAGACTCTGGATGAAATTAAGAACTTCAAACCCCAGATTTTTGAAAAGAAAAACAGATGTCCTGTTTGTTGAGTATAAATAACTCCGTACGTGGAAACCTTTTTTTTTACGCTGCATTAAATTTTATTTAATGCTGGGTGCATTTAAACTGAAAAAAAAAAGAGGGGGGGGAGGCAGCAAAATATGTGGGTGACAAACCTCTAAATCTTTTCCCCTCTCGAAAGAGAAAGAAACAGGCAGACGGGAAACCCTTCATCTAGATGAAAGTGTTCAATGTGTTTCCTAGCAGACCTGGCGAGCCTGCCCTGGTCAGTGCGGCAGCGAGGGGGGCTTAGCAGCCGTGCTG